TGAGGAATATAAATAAAGCAGGAATGAACTCAAGCATAGAATTAGAAGAGCAAGAAAAAGCCATGAAATCACCTTGGCAAGTACGGTTAAAGAGAATCCCAAGACATTCTATACATATAGTAAAAACAAAAGGATAAATAGGGAGAAGGTAGGCACACTCAAGGATAAAAGAGGGAACTTGTGCTTAGAGGCAGAGAATGTAGGCGAGATCCTAAATGAGTACTTTGCATCGATATTCACACAGGAGAAGGATATGGAGGATAGTGAGATTTGTGTGGAGCATGCTAATATGCTAGGGCAGTTTGAGATCACGAAAGAAGTGGTGTTGGGTCTCCTGAAGAGCATTAAGGTGGATAAGTCCCCAGGGCCTGATGGTATCTACCCCAGATTATTGACAGAGGCAAGAGAGGAGATTGCTGGGGCCTTGACCAAGATCTTTGTGTCCTTGCTAGCCACTGGAGAGGTCCCAGAGGACTGGTGAGTAGCTAAAGTTGTTCCTCTGTTCAAGAAGGGATAATCCAGGAAACTATAGATGGACAAATCTCACATCGGTGGTTGGGAAACTATTGGAGAGAATATTTAGGGAAAGGATTTACATGCATTTGGAAGAACATGGCCTAATTAGGGACAGTTAGCATGGCTCTGTGCAAGCCCCATCGTGTCTTACTCACTTGATTGAATTTTTCAAGGAGGTGACAAAGGTGATCACTGAAGGTAAAGCAGTGGATGTTGTCTACATGGATTTTAGTAAGGCTTATGACAAGGTCCCTCATGGGAACTCATCCAGAAGATCAAGATGCATGGGATCCACAGTGACTTGGCTACTTGGATTCAGAATTGGCTTGCCCATAGATGGGTGAGGGTAGTGGTGGAAGGATTTTTTTTGTGGTTGGAGGTCCGTGACTAGTGGTGTTCTGCAGGAATCCGTACTTGGACCTCTGCTGTTTGTCATGTATATATGACTTAGATGAAAATGTAGATGGGTGGGTTAGTAAGTTTGCATACAATACAAAGATCGGTGGAGTTGTGGATAGTGTAGAAGATTGTAAAAGGTTACAGCTGGATATAGATCAGTTGCAGTTATGGACAGAGCAATGGCAAATGGATCCGGGTAAGTGTGAGGTGCTGCACTTTGGCTATCAAATGGTAAGGATACAGTAAATCGCAGAACCCTGAACAGCGTTGAGGTACAGAGGGATCTTTATACCATCTAATCTTGACTCAAGAATCTGAGATTTATTCTGTGTCCATTCCTACCCAATTACTAACCAAGAAAATTCTCTCTAACACTTTGGCCCTCTCTAACCTTTCCTGTATTAAAATTCCTGTTAATACAAGAATAATTGAAGTACCTCTTGTCTCTAAGTAGACATTGTCCTTAGCCCTCCAGAACATCTCTCCAGTACTATAAGATTATCCTGTACTCTTTCCTCCCTATCCTTCATGAACACATTGTATCCAAGAATATTTAGTACTCACTCCTGCCCTTTTTGAGCAGCAGATCCCTTTAATCACATTGTAGTATGATGCAGTGATTATCTGCAAAAGCTGCTCAATTACATATATGATAAATTAACTGTAAATCTAATTTAGATCTTACTGAATTATGTTCTCATCGGACTCTACTGAATATCTTGCTATTTCTTGAGGATGGTTGGCTTGCCGAGCTGGTTTGTTGTTCCGCATTTCGTTACCGTGCTTGGTAACATCCTCAGTGCAGCCTCTGATGAAGCGGCAGTGTGTTTTCCCACCTGGTTTTTAAACTCTGGGGTCCGTTGCGATGGATTGCCTCACTTCCGGGTTTCCTCCGTAGTGGAATGTATATGGGGTCAAGTTCAATGTGTTTATTAATAGCATGCTTCGTGGAGTTTCATGCTTCCAGGAATTCTCGTGCTTGTCTCTGTCTAGCCTGTCCCAGGATCTTGGTGTTGTCCCAGTCGAAGTCGTGGTTTTCCTTGTCCATGTGAATTGAGATGAGTGAGTATTGGTTCCCATTTCCTTAGCGTATTAGTTTAAATCTTCCCAAGAGCAATAGCAATCCACCAGCAAAGCATTGGTTCCTGTTCTGCTGCAGTGCAACCTATCTGAACTGGAAAGGTACTACCTCTCCCAGGAATCTACAGCCCTCTATCCTGAATAATCTTTCCAGCCACACATTTAGCACCTCTATTTCTATACTGGCACATGGTACTGGGAGGAATCCAGTGATTATTCTTTATTGAGATTCTGCTTATTGATCTCCTTTCTCGCTCCCCAAAATCTATCCTCTGGATCTCAAACCTCTTCCTACCTATATCACTGGTACTGATATGGAACACCCTCAGCGTATGTTAAAGCTGCTTATTGACAGCCTTGACCATGCAAGCAATAGGATATCCTGGATTCACACAAGGCTGCAAAAAAAGTTGGTCTGTTCCACTATCACTTACCCAGTGTTCTTCTTACTCCTCCTTCCTATGCAGTTGAGCTACCTATGATGTTCTGGATGTGGCTCTGGCTGGATCCCTACCCCTCCCAAACATATGGGTCATCACCCTTATCTGATTCAGAACTGAATTCTGGTTAACAGCAAGTTAATCAGAGATATATTATCTGCTTGGTCCTCTTAGGTCACCCATTCCCTTACTGCTAACATACAGTCAAATTGTGGGATGACTATGCCCAAAAATGAGCTATTCATGGAGCTTTCAGTGTTAAGAATGCAATGCTGTGATACCACATGCTGTTAAGATCTGAAGCCTGGAGCTCGAGCTATTCCAGCTGATATAACCATAGATGTGGTGCATACATTTAAAAGGCATCTGGATGGCTACATGAAAAAGGGTTTAGAGGGATATGGGCCAAATGCTTGCAAATAGGACAAGGTCAAATTGGGATGTCTGGTCAGCGCAGATGAGTTGCACCGAAGGGTCTGTTTCCACGCTGTGCAGTTCTTTAAGCTGGAATACAGGAGCTGCTTTTGTTACATTCCCAGCACAGTGGCTCAGTGGTTAGCACTGCTACTTCACAGTGCCAGACACCTGGGTTTGATCCCACCCTTGGGCAACTGTCCATGTGGAGTTTGCATATTCTCCCCATGGCTGTGTAGGTTTCTGCCAGGTGCTCCAGTTTCCTCCTACAGTCCAAAGATGTGCAAGTTCGGTTGATTGACTATGTTAAATTACCCATAGTGCTCAGGGGTGTAGGTGGGGAGACATGGGAAATGTACGATTAGAGGGATGGGATGGGTCAGGTCAGCTCTGGGTAGGATGCTCTTCGAAGGGTTGGTGTGGACCTATTTGGCTGACTGGCCTGTTTCCACACGCTATGGATTCTGAACATTTAGAGAAAACTGTTAGGATCCATTTTGTACGCTGCAACCTTCAAATTCAAATTTGAAGAGCTGAAGTATTGTTTTAAGTGCTATACTGGTCATACCAATATTGGCATCATTATGATCATTCAAGTACTAAAATGAATAAATAGTGCATATGAAAATTTGAGATTCTATTTTGAATCATGCAAAGGACACCTATCCCAATGTATAACATTGTTCAGAATAGAAAGTTGAACACTGCCATTAAAATGATCTCTTCTTCAGATTCCTCAATATTTTTAAAAATACCTGTAACAGCCATTCTAAGTTAATTCCTTTTGAAAGGCTCCACCAGACTGAATAGAACATGACAATTCACACAGCCTTACTTCAATCCTTTTGAGTGCTTGGTTTAGTGAGTAGTCCATTTACCCTAACTCATTTTTGAATCTGAAGTTTACTTTTACACTTGTAATGAAGCAGAAAATATTCCTCAAGTCTGAAATCCAAAGTATCAGGTAAGTGTATGGCAACTCAAGCAACTTGAAGACCTGCGCCATCAATTAAGATATAATCACCATACTCAGTCCAAGTTAAATCTTTCTATGGGTACATACTCAACAGCACTCAGATATTGAACATCTTAAACACGCCTTTATTCATCTGCCTCAAATGCCATAAGATGTAGAAGCAGAATTAGGCCATTTGGTTCAGCATGTCTGCTCTGCCATCCAATCATGGCTGAAGTTTTTTTTTTCCTCATGTTGAAAAGAATTTAGGCCAAATAGCATTTATTTTTAAAAAGGGAATGAATGGAGTGCTTTAAATTAAAATCTTTCACCAGATCTTCCTTCACTTTTGGTCTCTTAAAACTGAGAAATTCTGTGGTGAATTACTAAGAAATATACAAAACTAAGCTAATGGAATGAGTAATAGCAAGAACTGTAGATGCTGGAATCGGAGTTGATACAGCGTGGAGCTGGTGGAACACAGTAGGTCAGGCAGCATCAGAGGAGTAGGAGAGCCAAAGTTTCGGGCCTAGACCCAAAACGTCGACTCTCTTACTCCTCTGATGCTGCCTGACCTGCTGTGTTCCTCCAACTCCACACTGTATCGACTAAGGCAATGGGATATTCATTAGGGAGTCACACAACTGCAGAGGGAAGTGCAGCAATGCATGTAGAATAAAGTAAATCCTTTACTTCACAAAAAACATTTTCAATATCAATGGCAAAATTGCAGACTACTACAAAAAGCTGAAAAATGACTAATGTTGAAAACTGCAGAAACCCAAAGAAAGGTCCATACGTAAGATCACTTAAGGAAAAACCCTGTTGATTGGACACAAATTCTAGTTCTAACATTAGAAGCTAGGAATATCAGGTACTGTTTTGTCAGCTTGATGCCTTCCTTGTATGGGTAACAATTTTTAAACATTATTCAACATTTCTGAATATAGGCCAATAAAAAAAGTGTGCAACTTAATTTTGTGTTCTATAAGAAATAACACATTCATAGAAATTTAGTGCTCAAAAGGCAATCTGGTCTTTCTGCACCTCCTGGTGGTCAGTTCAGAATGTGTCATGGCAGTATAGCACACCAATCACCACAAAATCTGAAGCGCACAGATTGAGGTCAATTTACAATATGAACTAATACATAAATGCTTAGACAAAACAACATGTAAAGTTTACACAGAATGAAATGTTGTCAACTGTTTATTTTTGAAACTAACAAAACAAACATTAACAAATTACTAGAATAAACAAACTCCTCCAATTACCATATCGCCCTCCTCTCCGAGGTAGGACAATAAGAGGGCATAATTATTTTTGTCACTCATGACAAATCTGATAAATTTACAGAAGTGCTTCTTGCACATTTTAAAGGCTCACAAAATTGTATTTGTGAATTTAACGGAGTTACTGCAAAGTAGCTCATGTTAGACCTCAAGCACCTTTAATAAATTCAGTGACTATGACTAAAACAAACCATAGTCTTACAGTAATGAAGAGTTCAAATGTTAGAAACATCTTTGCTTAACAGAAAATCTATGTAACAAAAAATTAAAGATTTACATTTGAATTTCTGCTTACAACCCCCAATCCTAATGTTGCTTAATTTTATTTCTCTTCAATATTTACTATTTCAATACTGTCTTGTAGTGACTATTTATTTATACAAACGGTCAGGACTCTGCAGGTTACTACTGAATTTAGTGACCCAGTGGCAACTACACCTGATTGAAAAATGCATCCAATGTGTCAAGGATAAATCTAGTTGTTTAATCAATGTGACCACATCTTTACACACTAGACTTTCAATTGCCTTTTCAAAAAAAATCCTTGATGGCCAGTGTTCAAAAATTATACTTTTTTTGGAAGGTGTCTTACAGAGCCCTATGAAGCACAAAACATTGAAAAGAACTGACAAAGACTTATTTTTGTTTTGGGGTGGGGTTTGGGGAGCAAGATTGATTTTTATTTAAATCAATTCTAAAGAAATAGTAAGAAAGAGAAAGTGGGCAATAACGATTAAGAGGACAGTACACACAGTATCTGTTAATCTTGCAGCTGCAGTCTTTGCTTTCAAGTGTACAAAACTGCCAAAAGAACTACTGATTCAGACAGTCAGATTTTTTGGGAAATAAGATCTGCAAGTATATCCCCAGTTATCATCCAAAACATGAAGACAATTGCACAAGCTTTGATGTTGTATTTCAGCATTAAACTTGCAGGCGCAAGTATTGGATGTTGTGGCATCATGGTTATCAAAATTGTGTTTGAACTAATTTAGCCACAGAGCATTAAGACATTCGGATCACAACTCAATTCTTTTCCTGTAGACTTGTGCAATCCTGCTGTGTTTAGTTTTAGTTTTAGAGTTCTATTATGCTCAAACATAACAATTACATCTCCCTCACAATTCAAATATCTTGTTTCTTGTTCCTAGGATTAGGTTCTCCACTAATCAAAAGCATGCATCTATGGGCAACTGTTTTTTTTTAAAAACAAATCCTGAGCAGACATTAGGACTCCAGAAGAGCCAATTTTTGTCTGACACCAATGTGTATATTGGTCTGTGCTATCAAAAAGTAAAGTTTCTTCTGATTTTCCTGACCTTCAATTGAGGTGAAATTTCACAATGGGGAACAAAGAGAGAGACAGAATTCAACTGACAGTTAGAAATCTGGCCAACACATCAGCTTGCTTACTACTGCCCGATGTTTGCCTGTTGTAATTTTTACACTAGCTTTAAGTTGAAAAACAGTCCATCTATGTGAAATAGATGGAAGGTTGCTTAAACCTGGAATTCTTTTCATAGATACAATAAGTGGGCTGCGTAGATTTCCTCCTCTCCCTCCTACTGCCATCTAATTTAGTGTGATAACTGATTTCCCACCCTCTAAGATCTAGTAGTGTGCAATGGTACATGCATTCACTGCAGTTTTGACAGTGTAGAACAGTTGAGATCATGGGTTCAAGCAAATCTTCAGATTATGTATCTATATTCGATAGCAGAAATAATCTAATGCTCAATTTCATGACAAGCAATCCAATTAATTTCTCAGTTGGACTACCTGTCAGAAAGGCAGGGATGGCAAAAACTGCATGTATTTTTTTTTAAAAAGTTCACGAGAATTATTACTGGGCTGACTTCCACTCACTCGTAATCAAGAGCTAGATCAGTAATGGCTTGACTGCAGACTAGCTGTGCTTGTGAAGATAGGGAAATGGTGACTTGTACAGGAATTTTTGAAGGAAGATTGGATGGGTAAGATGATTCAGTGCCAAGTTGAGGGATCAAAATCTCGACAACACACTTATAAACAAACACTTAGAGTCTGTATTAAGGTCACAAATATGAAGAAAAACTAAATGGCCTCCATATTGCATGGACATGTCTCATTATATTCTAAACAATACATTTTAATTGTACACAACATAACATAGTGGGTTAAATCTGATTCATCAGATTAGTATAAGATGCTCTACATCAACCAGTTTGATTTACTGCTTTCAATTCTGAAAATATCTCAACATATACAAGTTACAGCAGTTCCAACAACCTAACAAATCATGAATTAGGATTCTCATATGATGATTTCTGGAATCATTATCTTTTTCAATGGCCTGGGGATCAAATAAAATACATTAGCATAAGGTAGAATTTTTTTTTTCTTCTTTAAAAAGTGAAGGGCTGTTCCAATATTCTACAAAATTGAATATACCAGTAGGATTTGGTATGTTGTACAATGATAATGGTGAAAGCTATGCACTTCCCTACAGGAATGCATCACCAACTTGCCACTGGATTCCTGGTGTACACAGTCACAAATTGGATAAATGTAACCATGTGTGTACTTTTGAAGCTTGGTATATTCTGGTTTCTGAGGTCAAAATAGTTGTGCACTATATTCCTATATGCTATAATCATGGAAAAAATAAGCTTCATGTCTAACTTTGTGACATAAGCTTCACATCTAGTTTGCACCATACACATTTTCAATCATGCTCATTTTCAAGTACGGAATTGCCTCTGGTGCAAACAATGCCAATTGCTTTAATTTAGGCAGGGTAAGCAAATATTTAGAAGGTTCTTTTGTCAAATAATCAAAGCATTCTGTGTAACACTAACCACTCCAATGCTATACGAATGAACCAAATACAATATTACATAAGAATTGTCTATTTCACAATAAGGTAGTTTGAATTTTGGCCAATGTTATCCAGTATGCTGTTATTTTTCAGCTTAGATCCTTTACAGAAAAACTTCAGTAACAAACTGCTAATCGTCACCTCACTGCTTTTGCAGACCTGATGACTGAGCAAGGAATCCAAGAAGGGGTTTTTTTTTCTTTAAAAAAGTCAAATCTAAAGCGATTTATTTAGGTACAAACATTTCTATGGTGGAACAGTAATCTAGAATGAATTAAAGCAACAGACATTCCAAAGTTTAATTTGCACTTTGCCTACTATCCATACTAATATATATCAGCCTTTAGATGTGAAAATACAAACAGAGCGTGATTGAGTTTACAGTTCAAGATCTTCTTAGTATTTTTCCTCATTGCATTTGGAATACTTCAGCATTTGGATTCTTGACCAGCCAGGTACCAAAACCATGATGTACCAGCGATGATTTCAGCAAAACCTTTGCTTCTTGATATGACTTTGCCATCATCTGGAAGAAATGGCAAATCAAAGAGGTATAAAATTTGAGTTTGAAGTAAAAACAAAATGCTAAAAAAATGTGCAGCAATCATTCAGCAGCTAAGAGGTTTTTCCCTCGAATTGATTAAGCATCATACTGATCTGAAAAGTGAAACCCTTTCTATTACCCAGGCTTTGTTTTTTTTAATTCACTTGTGGGATGTGGCCAACACTGGCTGGGTCAACTTTTATTGCCCATCCCTAGTTGCATTTGAGATGGTGGTGGTCAGCTGCCTTCTTGAACAGCTCCAGTCCATTTGGGGTAGGTAGACCCTCAATGGTATTAGGAAGGGAATTCCAGGATTTCGACTCAGTGACAGTGAAAGAACAGAGTTATATACATGAAGAAAAGAACAAAGAACCAAGAAAATTACAGTACAGGAACAGGCCCTTCGGCCTTCCAAGCCTGCACCGACATGCTGCCCATCACAACTAAAACCACCTACCCTTCTAGGGACCGTATCCCTCTATTCCCATCCTATTCACATATTTGTCAAGACGCACTTTAAAAGTCACTATAGTATCTGCTTCCACCAACTCCCCCGGCAGTGAGTTCCAGACACCCACCACCCTCAGTGTAAAAAACTTGCCTCATATGTCACCTTTAAACCTTGCCCCTTGCACCTTAAACCCATGGCCCCTGCTTACTGACTCTTCCACCCTGGGAAAAAACTTCTGACTGTCCAGTCTGTCCATGCCCTTCATAATCTTGTAGACCTCCATCAGGTCACCCCTCAACCTCCGTCGTTCCAGTGAGAACAACCCAAGTTTCTCCAACCTTTCCTCATAGCTAACACCCTTCATACCAGGCAACATCCTGCTATATCTTTTCTGTACCATCTCCAAAGCCACCACATCCTTCTGGTAGTGTGGGGACCAGAATTGAACACAATTTCTAAATGCGGGCCTAACTAAGGTTCTATAAAGCTGCGACATTACCTGGCTATTTTTAAACTCAATGATCCGGCTGATAAAGGCAAGCATATCATATGCCTTGTTGACTACCTTTTCCACCTGCGTTGCCACTTTCGGTTACCAGTGTACCTGTACACCCAGATCCCTCTGCCTATCAGTACTCTTAAGGATTCTGCCATTTACTGTATATTTTCCATCTGGATTAGATCTGCCAAAATGCATTACCTCACATTTTTCTGGATTAAACTCCATCTGCCATCTCTCTGCCCAAGACACCAGCTGATCTATATCCTTTGACGGTCCTCATCACAATCCGCCAACCTTTGAGTCATCACCAAACTTACTAATCAGGCCAGTTACATTCTCCTCCAAATCATTTATATGTATTACAAACAGAAAAAGGTCCCAACACTGATCCCAGAGGAACGCCACTAGTCACATCCCTCCATTCAGAGATGCACCCTTCCACTGCTACCCTAAATCTAACGACCGAGTCAGTTTTTAAACCATCTTGCAAGCTCATCTCTGACCCCATGCAACTTTACCTTCTGTATCAGCCTGCCATGACGGACGTTGTCAAAGGCCTTACTGAAGTTCATGTAGACAACATCCACTGCCCTACCATCGATCATCTTCATCACTTCCTCAAAAAACTCAACCAAGTTAGTGAGACACGACCTCCCCTTCACAAAACCATGTTGCCTCTCACTAATACGCCCATTGATTTCCAGGAGAGAGTAATTCCTGTCTCGAAGAATCCTCTCCAAAAATTTCCCTACCACTGATGTAAGGCTGACTGGCCTGTAATTAGCTGAATTATCCCTGCCAGTCTTCTTAAACAAAGGAACAACACTGGCTTTTCACTAATCCTCTGGGACCTCCCCTGTAGCCAGTGAGGATACAAAGATTCCCCACAAGGCCTGAGCAATTTCCTCCCTTGCCTTTCTCAGTATTCTGGGGTATATCCCATCAGGCCCTGGGGACTTGTCTACCTTAATGTTTTTCAAGACCCCAAATACCTCCTCTCTATCTACATACCCTTTCCTAGACTCACCATCCACCAAGTCCTTCTCTATGGTGAATACTGATGCAAAGTACTCATTTAATACCTCGCCCATTTCCTCCAGCTCCACACAAATTTCCTTTCCTGTCCTTGAGTGGGCCAACCCTCTGCCTGGTTACCCTCTTGCTCTTTATGTATAAAAAGCCTTGGGATTTTCCTTAATCCTGTTGGGCAATGACTTTTCATGACCCCTTTTAGCCCTCCTGACTCCTTGCTTAAGTTTTTTTCGAATTCCCTTGTATTCCATCCTTGCTTCATGTGTTCCCAGCTTCCTAGCCTTGAGAAATGCTTCTTTTTCTTTTTGATTAGGCTCACAATATCTCTAGTTATCCAAGGTTCCCTAAACTTGCCATACTTATTCTTCATCCTTAAAGGAACTTGCTGGTCCTGTGTTCCCAGCAACTTACACTTGAAACATGATATTTCTAAATCATTTATGAAACAGCTGAAGAAAATTGGGTACAGGACACTACCATGAGGAACTCCTATAGAGATATCCTGGAGCCAAGATGACTGACTTCCAACAACTACAACCATCTTCCTATGTGCCAGATATTACTCCAACGTTGGAGAGAGTTTCCCCCGATTCCCACTGACTCCAGTTTTGCTTGGGCTCCTTGATGCCATACTCGGTAAAAGCATAGCCTTGATGTCAAGGACCGTGACTCTCACCTTACTTCTGGAATTCATCTCTTTTGTCTATATCTAAACCAAGGAAGCTGACTGTCCTTAAAATCAAAGAATCCTTAGAGTCAACAGCTGGAGGAGGATGGTATATGGAAATCGACAGGACCTTTCTCAGCCTGTTTTGCCTGCTGCCATGAGACTTCATGATGTCGGAAGTCAATATTGAGGACGCCCACTATACCATAGCATCTGCTGCACCTGTCCAGATGGTAGGACAGGACATATCCAGGGATTGTGATGGTGGTGTCTGAGACAGTCATACTCATGGAATCATACCTTAGAGATAATAACAAGCTATTGCTTGACAAGTAGGGTATGCAGGGTAGATTGATCTTAGTAGGATAATAGGTCAGCACAACATTGTGGGCTGAAGGGCCTGTACTGTGCTGTATATTCGATGTTCTAATCTATGAGGGAGCTCTCCCAATTTTGGCACTCACCCACAGATGTTAGTAAGGAGGACTTCGACAGGGCTGTTTTTGCCTTTGCAGCTGCCTGTGCCAAAGTCGATGATAGGTGGTCCATCCGATGTCAATCCTTTTTTTTTTGAGACTTTCTAGTGATTGATAAAACTGACTGTCTTGCTAGACCATTTGAGAGAGCAGTTGACAGTCATCTAGATTGCTGAGAGTCTGGGGTCACATATAGGCCAGACCAGGTAAGGATGGCAGATTTCCTTCCCTGATGGGTTTTTCCAACAATTGACAGTGATTTCACAATCATCATTAGATTCTTAGTTCCAGACATTAATTGAATTCTAATTCCATTTAAATAGGTGGAATTACAAAACAGTACTTGAGCTTTTGGATTAATTGTCTAGCAATAATACAACTAGGCCATCGCGCCCCCATTGTATATTCTTGCTATCTTTGATGAGAAATTGACAAATGCAGAGTAGTACACGCTTTTATTAAGCAATTAAACATTTTACAATTAAGGAAATGAAGATTTTAATATGTTAAAGATCCAGTATAATGTACTGTTAGTAAATCTACAACGAAATCCATATGAATGGACAGTGCCCTCACCCCAAAAAAGGAGATCTGCAAAAATCAGACAGTTACTGACCATCCCAAATAAGTTGTATTGTAATGGATGCAAACTTAAACTGAAAACAGCAACATGGAAGCCAAGCAAAATACAACTTATAGACAACATTTGATGTACCAAGTGTGCCATTGACTGCAAGAAGGAGTAGGTGAGAAAACATTTTTGTGCAATGGATATCTCTTTAGCCACCTTGATAGTAGCAGAAAAAAATGCTCTCTTTTTGCAACTGAACAGACAAACGCTGTGAACTGTCAGTCACAGGCATTGAAATTGCATCAAAGAGAGGGGAGGTGGAAATAGACTACATCATGGCATGAATGAGGTTGGAAGCTCATTTTTGGTCAAATATGACACTTAGAATTTGAACAAACTGTTGCCAGGGAGAAGAACAAAGGCTACAGTGATGACCTAGATCAATGTAATAGAATGGCACTTTTCTGAACACAAATTACAGCTACTAAAAATTTTTACTGGGATAATACTCAAAGCTGAAAGTAACTTTACCTTTGCTGCATGATATGTTGGAACTGTAGATAAATCTTCTCTATTTGCTTCTTTTGCAACAAGATAGAAACGACTCAGCATGGCAGCTTTGCACAAGCGACTGGTCATGGAGGTACCACTTTTAAATGGTGAGCTTAAATAAAAATAAATACCAGTTTTGAAAAAGGCCAATAAGAAGCACTTCCAAATTTAATATTCAAACATATTTATTTCAGTAGATAAACTCATCATGAAGGAAGTTATTCATATCTATATAAATTCAGCAAGTGAAAAGTTTCAAATAATGGCCCAAACTGCTGGAATGGTGAATTTCAGAGTAAGCGAGGTGAACTGAATTTTTAAACTTTGTTCTTCAGAAGGCACTGCAAATTGCTGGAAATGTAACTTTTTTGGCAGTACATCAGAACCTCCCAAACACATTGGGCACAATGATCCATGTCCTTAATCAATGAAACAACAAAAGAAACAAAATGAATGAGAAAGAATTAGAGTCAAATGCAGCCAAGAAAGAGAAAAAAGGAGGTGGGAAATGAGTGGAGTGAAAATGACAAAGGAAATTTAAGAAAAAAATTGAAAAGAACAAGATGACGACAACACTGGAAATCAGATTGTTGTGGAAATGTCTTAAAATGTATAAAAATGATTAGCTAACATTAACAGGAATATCAGAATACTCAGGAGATAATTTGAGGAGTTAAGATCAAAATTAGAATGTAGAATCTCAAAGGCTTTGGACTGGCAGTCTTTTTAATATTGACCAATTGATACTGATTTTAAAACTAAACAGAGTAGGAAGGAAAAGATATTTCAATACATAAGATGCTATTATAAAAACTACTGTTAATTGTAAAGACCCATCTACTATATTTCAGGGAAGTAAAACTCCTGTCTTTATCAGGTCAGCCTACATGCAAATCCTGACCAACAGCAATGCAGCTGACTCTCAACTGTCCTCAAAATTGGCCTAGCATGCCACTCATGTCAGTTGTATCAAAACTGCTAAAATGTCACCCTTGAATGAGACTAGATAAACCACACATCAACTTAGGCATCAGAAATGACTGGCAAACTCAGCCCTGTCAATCCTGCAAAGTCCTCCTTTTCAACATTAAAGGAGCTGGTGCCAAAATTGTGAAAGGTGCCTCACAGACTAATGAAATATCGGCTCGACAATAGGCGCACCTACAGAATCGTGCCCTTTACTGTTCCAAACTCCATCATCACTTGAATATGTCCTGTCCCATCAACAGAAGAGACGCACAAGGAATGGCACAAAATGGTATACCATCAGGAAGGAGCTGCCTTAGGATGGTCAGCGTTGCTACTGGACCAAATGAAGTCCCACAGCACCAAGTCAAATACAGCTACGAAACCTTCCGCTGATTACCATCTACTATCCTGCTTCCACTAAGAATTAGTATACATTAAACACCACTTGAAGGAAGCACTGAAGGTGGCAAGGACACAGAATGCATACTAGCTTCAATGTCCATTACCAAGAGTGACTTGGCATCACTAGTACTAACTGTCAGCAGCAGGCTGTGAAGCTCCCAATAAGAGGGATAAACATCAGTGACCTCATCCTCATGAGTCTGCCTGCTGCAAATGCATCTGTCTTTGACTAGATCAGTAGGAGACACCACCAACTGTCTTCATGCTAAGGATACCCTCCACCATGTTCTGTGGTACCCCCATGCTAAATGGGACAGGTTTCAACTAGATCTAGCATCTCAAGAATGAGCATCCATAAAGTGCTATGCACTATCAGAATTTTATTCAACCATACTCTGCAATCTCATGACTCAGCATAACCCCCATGCTACTGTTAACTCAAGGTGGGGGATCAAACCTGGTTCAGTGAAGATCACAGGAGGGCATGCCAGGACCAACACCAGGGATACCTGAAAATGTGGTGTTGAGCTGGTGAAGCTACAAAACAAAACCATTTGCATGCCAAACAGCAAAAGCAGCAAGTGACAGGCAGAGCGAAGCAATTCCACAACAACAGATCAGATGTGAGCTCTGGAATCCTGCCAGATCCAATTGAGAATGGTGACAGATAACTAAAGAATTCACTGGAGGAAATGGCTCCACTAATATCCCATCCTCAATTCTGGGGAAACCCCGCACATCAGAACAAAATAAGACTGGAGCATTGCAACAATCTTCTGTCAGAAATGCTGAGTAGATAATCAATCCAATTTCCTGCTGAGGAGCCCAACAGAAGAGATGCAAGTCTTCAGCCAATATGATTCACCCATGTGGCCTCAAGAAATGGTTGATACTGCAAAAGCTCCATAGCAATATCAGCATAGCACAACAGTACTCTAGAAGGGTTAGAGACAAAAAAAAAAAAACTGTAGATGCTGGAATCCGAGGTAGACAAACAGGAGGCTGGAAGAACACAGCAAGCCAGGCAGCATCTGGAGGAAAGGAGAAGTCAACATTGAGTATTACCCTTCTTCAAGACTCTAGAACTAGAGTACGCTAAAACTTACTAGTCAAGCTGTTTTAGTTAACTACAATATAGGCATCTATCTGGCAATATGGAAAATTGCCAAAGTATATGCTTTTCCTTTCTTCATTCGTGGGTTCTGGGCATCACTAGCTCAACCAGCTTTTATTGCCCATCCTTAATTGCCCAAAGAGCATTTCAGTGCTAGCCACATTGCTGAGAGTCTGGAGTCACATTTAGGCAGTATCAGGTAAGAATAGCAGATTTCATTCTCCAAGAGTCATAAGTGAACTAGATGAGTTATTCCTGACAATCGGCAATGGTTTCATGACATTATTAGACCCTTATTTCCAGATTATTATTGAATTCAAATTCCATCTACTATGGTGGGATTCAAACATAGGTCCCCAGAACATTACCTGGGTTCCTGGATTAACAGTCTAGTCATAATACCGTTAGGACATTGCCTCCCCTGTATCCTATACAAATACAGGGCCAATCCAACCCAGCCAAATACTGTCCACAATCTATTCTTGATCATCAGTAGGGCTATCAAACAGCACCTGCACAACAATAACATGCTCACTGACTATGAATTGAATTGGGCTGGGTTCTGCCTGGGTCATCATGCTCCAGACCTCATTACAGTGTTGGTTCAAGCATGGACAGAAACAGCTGAACTCCAGAAGTGAGGTGAGATTGATGTTAAAGGTATTCAAAGTTACATTTGACCAAATGTAGCATTAAGGAGCACTAGAAAAAGTGGAGTAAATGGGAATCAGGAGTAAAAGTCTGGTTGAAGTCATACCTAGTACAGAGGAAGATGGTTATAGTTACTTGAGGTGAGTTGCCTCAGCTCCAGGACGTCTGCAGGAGTTTCTCAGAGTACTCTCCTAGGTCAAACCAGCTTCAGTTGCTTCCACGGATAGTAGGAACTGCAGATGCTGGAGAATCTGAGATAACAAGGTGTAGAGCTGGATGAACACAGCAGGCCAAGCAGCATCAGAGGAGCAGGAAAGCTGACGTTTCGGGCCTAGACCCTTCTAGTGCCCAGGTTTGTCCTGCGCACAAAGCAGGATGAATCTAACCTGGCCAATTACCATCCCATCAGTCTACTCTTGATCATCAATAAAGTGATTTCAATAGTGGGGCATCAGTGATGGCAAAGCTATTAAATGTCAAGGGATGATGGTGAGATTCTCATTCGCCTGAGTGAATTGAACTGGGCTGAAAACTGGAATCTGTGATGCCAGGGGCCACAGGTGGAGGCCAAGATGGATTATTCACTTGCCACATCTGGCTGAAGATTGCTGCACACGCTTCAGCCTAATCTTTTGCATCCTCCTCCTTCCTTCAGCATTCAAGTCTTGTCTTTTGCAGTCAGAGATTAACTTTATTCTGTTTTTGGCATCTACTCTATAACCGTTAGCACTCTGTCGTTTGTCCTATGATACCTTTGATGTCTAATATTCTGCCCAGATCTTCTTTGCCACTTGTCACTCCCCACTTTGCAACAATAAAATGCATAACTTTTCCACCTCACTACAGTTTCAAGGAGCTAATGGACTGAAATGTTAATGGTTTCTCATACTGCAGTTGCTGCTATACTTGTTGTCTTTATCAAAAATCATGTTTTAATTCTGGTTTTCAAGCATCTACAGCATTTTGCTTTTGTTTTAAAGAAGTAGAGACATATGAGTGCGAGTAGGAATAACAAAAAGGGTCAGAAAGTGCTGGGTCATTCCAGTACATGTAGTTAATCCTGTTACCATTAATCTCCTTAAAAAGTACTCCTTTACTGTACCTCCTTACAAACTATTGCCCCATTTCAACATTCTCCTCATGCTAAAGTTCCTGAATGTGTTATTGCCTCCCAAATCAGTGCCCATCATCCCCGGAACTACTTGTTTGAATCCTCTAATTCAGTTTACACTGCAGCCACAGTCACAAATAGAATCTTATATGACTGTAACGAATGTAAACTATTCTCAGTCCCATCACTCTGTTGTCCTCTAAGGATCTGTGCTTTATATCCTCCTTTTGTTCATTTACACGAGGTGCCTCATCCAAAACACTACTTTTTCCTTCCTATATGTTGTGATGACACCCAGCTTTATAATTCTTCCACTGTTGTGAAATTATCAAATTGTTTTCCTGATATCCAATAGTGGATGAGTAGAAATTTCTGTCAACTAAATATTTGGATGACAAAGACCATTGCCTTCCATCACCACTCCAAATTCTTACCACTGACTCCATTTCTCATTCCCATTTCCAACTCGTTCTATGGTCTCATCTCGTTTTTTTTCTGTAAACTCATTCAGTCCCACAATCCCAAAATATCTGCACTCTAATTTTGGCCTTTAGAGCAATTTTAATTGCACTGATGGTTATGTGTTCGGTTGCTTAGGGCTAAGCTCTGGACTTTTCTCCTTAAACCTCTCCAACTTCTCCCTTTTATTCTATTTTAAGGCACTCCTTAAAGCCTACTCTTTGACCAAGATGTAAAATTTTGCTCTATAAAGCACTCATGAAGAACCTTTGTCATTTTATCTTAAAGGTACTATATAAATACAAAACTATTGTGCTAACAAACAATCTATTCCTGACTTATCCATGAGCATAAACATTAGTTATTTGATCATACAGATATATACACATTTCAAAGAAAAGTAAAC